CTAAAAAAGGCCAAGGTAGGTAAATTGATCTTCGATAAAAATGGAACTTCGGTAATTTATCAAGATGGACGACTGGAGCGTAATGCAGAACACTCTATGTGGTAGTTCAACTACTCTAGGGCTACACTACAGCCGTCCATCATTCAACCCCTGTGAGAAATGACTATTGAGAGGGGAAGAAACGAAAAAATTAAACGTCTTCAACCATCTGTGTTTGCATTCACTTCCTCTTGTTAGATAGTGTATTATTGCCAGTAATAATAAGGCTAAACATGAAGTGTTAGCTAAGGAAGAAAATTCATTCGATTATGTTGTAAGGCTGTGTCGAATGAAGTGGCTAGAAAATGTGTCGCTCATTCTCAGTCACGGTCTTCCTTGACGAACACTGTTAGCTTAAATAGGATTAGTTGGAGGATTTCATCATGAGCTGACATCAGTTAGAGAACCATTGGAAAACCTGTGAGTACTGAACAGCTGTTTCATCCTAGTTTGGTGCTCTTCATCGGTACGCACCCACCACCAGAGTTAGGACCCTGGACCCTCTGGTTACAAGGATGAGCTCGTAGACCACTAAGCCTCTGGCACCCAATCCAATGACCAGCCCATGAATTCTAACTTCTGTCAATTCATGACATAGCGCGACCACTTCGCAATGAATCAAACAGAATCCCTAGAAAAACCAATACTTGAAATAGGATTAATTTGTAGAAAGTTAGGGGTCGTCAAATCAAAACTTGAAACCAATCCATGAAGTCTACAACTATTGGCTTGAGTTAAATTGTGACAAATAAGTCGATGAATGAAGCTATAATCCGCAACCATTTGAAGTGGTCTAGGCATGTGCTACCTATGCCTGCCAACTTTCTACCTCAGGTATGTTCGTCAAAAATCAAACTACAAGCCAGATCAAGAAAAGATACTAATCCATGACTATTAGTTTTAAGCCATGTAGATTATTTAGTTTGTGTTTTATAACTGAAATTGTTAGTTGGAGTGTGTGGATAATATGACTGTAAACTGACTGCAATAGTCCACTGATACTTTGCCTTCATCTTAGTATGACATGTTTAACTACTTTTTCTTTCTCCCTTCTATCTTACACTCTCCTATAACTTTCGACTGTTTGGTTTGCAGTTTTTCATCTTCTTGGTTATCATATACTAACCTTGTGGTAAATTGTGCCGACAGTCAGTAGTTCTAGGTCTATGTGTTTGTGTCTACTTATTGATGATATGTTAAATTAATACTGATATTTCAATAAAATCCTCCTACACACAACAACAATGTGTTTGTTAGTCGTCAGATGAGAAATTCGATAACTCAGTTGACGATCTTATCTTTCACAACTTACGGACAATGAATATCGGATTGATACATTCTTAGTAGATCAAGTTTTCTGTAGTTTTTTTTTTTTTACTTCCAACCGTTTGTTTACCAAACAATGATCGATATAAACTTGAGGCAGATGCCTGTACAATTGTGTTAACTACAATAATAAGTAATCTAGATATATCTGATGGGTTGTCATGCGTCACTTAATAAGAAAGCTCTTCCAGCCCTCGAATGTACGACTATAAAATCTAGTTATCGTCAGTCGGTTATAAACTTGAAATAAAACGAAAGTAACACGTCACCGATAGCCTACTGTATAATATATCATAATAGTAATCTTAATATTTAAGGATATCACCAAAAGTATATATATATATATATGTATATATATATATACATATATATATATATATATATATATATATATATATATATATATATAACATCTACTTCTCTCCTGTCACTTATATGCAATAAATGTGATCACTTAGATGGACTTTGGTTGAGTAAATTCATTGTTGTGTACAGCATTTAATAGTTGTAAAGTGAAAATATGGGTTTCGCCCCAATGTATGTTAGCCTAATCACTTCCACTGTTTCATTTTTGTTTAAGGGACCCCTTAGTACTTCCTGTTACATCTGGCATAAAATAGTCTAATAAACATTCTGTCTTCATAATTCAAATTTTGTTTGTGTAATTTTAATTTATATTTTTTTTAAATCAAGCACATGTTTATAGAGTTTACTGTCGGAAATCAATCACAACACGTAAAACAGGCTTCGTACCTGTGATTTGTCGGTTTAAAGTTGGATACCTTAACTATTAAGACTAGGTGCTTCTAAAGTGTATACAGTAAACGTTTCTGACTGAATTTTCTGCGCTGTTCCGTTACCAATGATATTTTAAAAACCAAGACTAACTTTGATAAATACAATAAATCCCTATTGATTGTGTTGCTGCATGAAATTCATTAGTTAAGTAACTTCCAAAAATGTTTACTATTTATTATACCTGACACTATTGGTGTGGTTTTTCGTAGATTTCATGATTTTTTTCTCTATAAACCCAGGAACTCCATGATAATCTGTGTAACTGTTAACTTCTCAGTGCCAATCAAAGTTTACTCACTACGTTTTCATTTCTATCACTAGACCGAGTCACATGGCAATGCATTATATTGCGCTGTAGTGAATCATAAAATCCAATCTAATTACTGAACAAACATACTTATTATGCTTTGATTAGAGATTAAAGGTTAATACAGTAGTATTGTTTTGATGCTCAAGATATTTGATTGCTAAATGTTGTTCTACGTTCAATGTGGAATTATTGCTTTTTACCCTCTTTTACTTAACATTACTATGACAAGTAACACTTTCCGCTTGAAATCAGCACTGTAGTAGTTTTCCTACGTAGTTTGCCAGAATTACTGTAACTAATAAATTCTGGTAATACCAGTGATGCGAAGACGTGATTTCTCTGCAGAGATAGCTAAATTTAGGATCTATACCAACGTAAATCTGAATCTACTCATTCTAATTTGTTGAGTCCCATTTATGTGGATGGTGTTTTAATTGTTTTAATTTAGTTAACTTCTTTCATTGTTTATTTACACATTAACAATAATTACACTCAAAATAGAATATTCTACGAAGTTGAATTAAATACCTGTCCTAGTATTTTATGCAAGGATAATACTTAAAACTTTAATAAAGCCTAGATAAATTCTAGGTCATGAGCTTGATATATTGCCACGGGAATTGTAGGGGTGAATTGTCAGTTAAATTTTGGGCTTGACCACAGGCTGACCTAAGTTAGAGAACCATTGGAAAACCAGGGAATACTGGGCAACTGCTTCGTGCTAGTTCGGGACTCCGCAGCAGTACGCAATGTTCAGCAAAGCTAATCGATAAATGTGGTAATCTTTAGTGCCTAAATTCATCAGTACGCAGCCATTTCCCCCACCAGGGATAGAACACAGGTCCTTCAGATTACAAGGTGAACTCGTGTACCATTCAGCCACTGTGTGCTGATGAGAAGTCCCAAACTAGGACGAAACAGTTCTCCACTACTCCCTGGTTTTCCAGTGTTTCCCTAACTGATGTCACCTCGTGATCAAATCTACAATCAGTCATATCCCTGCAAACCGACACTTGAAAATCAAATTTTAACTTCCTCCTAGTTTCTACATATTTTAGAAGACGTAGCTCACTGGCTTAACCACTTGGCTCTCATTCAAGGGGTCCGGGGTTTGAATCCCGCTCACACCTACTTCAACCCGGACAACTGAATAGTATCGTCAGTCGTCACACCATAAGTGTGGCTCATGGTCCGGAACATGAAAGACCTCTTCCGGGAAGAGTTCAAACAACAAAAGATAGATAGATATTCCTACTAAGTGGAAAACAGAAGAGTTAGAAGAACTTTATCAAAATCCACATCAAATGGAAGTATATATATATATATTATTGACAGTCACATTTATATTGTACTTACCTCATGTTTAACCTTCTTTCATGTATCATTCCAATAGTACTCCAGTATTATCATACTATCACTGCGTGTACACGGTGAGTGCTTTAAAATCACTCTTATTAGTTTAGTCATTGTTCTCATAAATTGGTCAAATAGTCTGTGTTTTTTGTCTCTCAGGAAGTCATTTCATGTTTTTTTCTGTTGTGGTGTGAAGTTTTCTTGAGTTTTTCAAGATTATTTTTCTTATTCTATGGAAGTATTATTATGATAACAATAACAACAACGGTGAAAGTGAATAAATGTATCGCAGTATTATGTTTTCCTCCTCAATATAAGTTTACTCTTCTATCCGATAAGCACCATACAGTATGTTAGATGCTGATAGTCATATTATTTGATATTAAATATTCTCTATAATATGTGTGTATACATTTCATTAGATTACCACCTGTGTACATCCATTTACCTATTCTAGCACTTTTGATTAGTCATTTTTATGTTTTGTTGTTGTCTACCCCAGCAAACGGTAGGCAGACAATCAATTTTATGCCCAGTCATATACAACTAACGAGTGTCAGTTATATCGCCTTTGCAGTTAGAATGAAGAAGAAAAAAAAGAAAGAATGCATACCTGCATTTACATATGTGTGAAGTTAGTGATATTAAAAGGGTAAGGGAAATCACTGTATGTATCTCCCCTTCGAAAGCAGCAAATAATGACTGTTACTGTTATAACGAATACTGTCACTATCTTCTAAACTTTCTTCCTCCCCTCTGTTCATTCTTTGTGCATTTAAGCCAATTGGTTTTTTCTTTATAATGATCACTTGTGTAGTTGTTATTGTGATTATCATCTTGTTGATGATAGTTCGAATTAGTATTGGCCTTTCTTTTTTGTAATAACTTATTTTGGCAATGTCCACTTTTTCTCACTTATACTTTGAAAGAATATGTGAAGTTATAACTTCTGACTGACTTGTGGTTAGCTACACACATTTGTGTGCGTATTGGATAACTATGAATGTGTGTGTGTGTGCGTGTATCATTTTGTGCAGTCGTTGTGTAGATTAACACACTTTTATTGAGGAGTATAAGTGGAAAATGTTAACCAGTGGCAGGTTATTCTCTTTAGCTGTTCACAAGTTTATCTTGTGTACGTATATATATTTGCCTGTGTTGTCTGTGTGCAAATATGCCTTATGGTCTGTCCATTTTCCAATGTATACCATATTCGTATGCCTTACAATAGAAAAATTTCACGCCCCAGTATTGATGTCAGAATCTTCTGTTTTTGTGGTTATTTTACACCAGTTAGAGATTCCAGTGGAACTATCTTGATTATTTCAGCATATCCCTCCTTAGCACTGTTCATGTAAAATTAACAGTGTGTGTGTATTTATCTGCATACATATGAGTGTGCGATTCAATTGACCGTTCAATACCTGTTTAATAAATGATAATAATGGTAATGATATCAACAGCAATACTCATCCGTTTAAAATTATAAGCAGTAAATATGTACAGGAATTATCTTTACCAACATGTCATAAATTCATTTCAGAAAGGAATATATCATGTTGCTTATAATTGTGGAGAAATAAATTGATTTTCACCTGTAAGATATGATAATGTAATAAGAAGTGATGACGTCGCCTAGAGACTATTTTATTATTCACCATGATGTCCACTGGCGTCTTCTTAATACCTTCAGCTCGGTACTAATAATGTTAGTAATTAAATTTACTATCACAAATGTATATCATCTAGTAGTGCTAGTATCATCTTTTATCAAAAATACTGTTATGTTTGTACTCGGAAAACAATGACGTCTTTCAATTGTTTCAAAATCCGAGATGTAGACAACTTTATCACAGAGCCTATAAAGGCAAATGATTCAAGTGGAATTATACACCAGGCGACAGAAATTACCGACCTACAACATAATGAAAGTAATCAATCAATGAATTCTACAAGTATGGTAACCACCGCCACCACCATAACAACAACACTATAACAACTACAGCTAATTGTCAAAACAACCAGTCGAATTTAAAGATGGGTATGCCAAACAATTATGCATCGTATTCACGTGGAACTCATCATCTCATGCGGTGTAAACCACATTTTCGTCAGGCCAGCTTTTCATCTTCTGCTTTTGGGACTTGTATGCCGAATAATAAACGTGAAAACAGTAACAGTACTAGTAGTAGTAGTAGCAATAATAATAATAACAACAAAGAAAAAGTGTCAACTATATCTTCTGCTGGTGCACAGTTTAGTCGTAACTGTTTCGGACACTATCCTAATCGTTTACGTAAACACTTGGAAACAAATGTGACAAGAAGTGATACATCCTCATCGTCTGGATGTTTTCCAGTAGTACAATCTAATGCTGAAGTAATTTATGCTACCAGTGGGTCTATAAATGGTGGTAGTGGTGGTCTAGTTCGTAGTCAATCAGATTCTACGTGTTTATCATTGAAAGCGATAACAGGAGATGGAAATTGTGTTGATATTGGAAAAGATCAACAGGCTGGAAAACAAATCAATATTGTCCATGACAGTACTAATAATAAAAGCAATAGTAATCGTGTTAATTCTTTATCAGATGAGTCAGCACAGAGTTCTAATGTATCATCATGGGAGATGAATAATAGTAATTCATTGAATGAAAGTAATTTAATTGATAAGTATAATTTGGAAATAAATAATAATAAGTGTACATCATCACTGCTGCCATCATTATTAAACTCCTTATCACCAACATCTTCAGTGCATGTGAAATACAATAAGCTAAATAGAACAGAAGAAGTAGGCAGAGAAACAGAAGACTATGAAAATGACAGACAGAATCAAAATGATATGCTGGCTAGTTTCATGCGAAATTCTACTACTGGATCTACACCAAGCACCGGATTTTCACCTGATCCATGTAATTATTATAGTCCATCAATTAGACTGTCAGAATCTGCTTATCCACAACAGCAAAAGGTGAAACTGAAAAGTTTAACTACACCTAATAGTCTTTCGACTCCAACAACGCCTAGTCGAAGCTACCAGCTTATCTGTCGTAATGGAGTACAAAGTTATACTTTAGTAACCGAAAAGCGTACAGGATCTTCTGCATCACCAGAAAACATAGATTTTGTTGATCATAGTTCAGAAAGTTCTACTTGCCTTCATGATCCACGATCCCCTAACTGCTGTCCATCATCTAATATTGCCAATTCTGATAACATCAGATTGGTTAATGATGGACAGTCTGTTTATACAGATCATTTAATTAATCAACGTAAGCTACAGTCTCTTAATTTGTTTTCCTTTTCTCACTAGGTGCATATATATAGGATTTATGTGTATGTATATTTCTATATACTTTCCCCTAACCAGTATGATTTCAACCCGATTCCAAGACGGCTTGCTGATAGCTTCTTACCTCGCAGTAGTGGACACTTCAAGTTTAAATCTCTTAAACAGAATAAGTTAATAGTACTCTAAATCCATTTCAGCCTTTAAACCTTGCCTTGGGAATTAGGTTATATTTTCCGAATTAACTGTTACTCATTGTATTTTTCACTTACTTTTGTAGTACTAATTAGTTTGTAATGGATACAGCTGGTATTTCAAGCAGATCCATTTGTCAGTTATATTGCCACTTAACTGTTAAATGTATATATATTGGAAAATTAATATTTTTGACTTGTTTAGTTCATTCTCTGCTTACTTGTTAAGTCCTGTTGTGGTTGTAGTCATCATATTTGATATCAGGTCGATGTGCGAGAATGATGAAACTCTGCTCGTTAGTTTAAATACAGCCGACTGACAGGATTGGTCTTCTGCTGATAGGTGACTGTGGGGTGGAAATGCACTTGATATTTATGAAACTTCATAATTAAGGTTGATTGTATTTTAATTTTAGAGGTGTTTTTGTTGTTGTTATTTTTACCCTTAAATCAGTCATACTGATGTAGAGAGTCAATTAAAAGTATGAAAGGATTGTCTTATTACCAACTTGTATTATCAATAGACGCCTAATATTGAGGTTAAGTGTGGAGTATACCAGATAACGAAGGGATGTCAGTTGATGAGGTTGTTAAACTACATAGATTCAGATGGCTAGGACGCGTATTACACATACCTAGCCAACGCCTTTGTTGTTGAGCAGTGTTGGCTGATATAGGATGACGTTGGGAAAGAGATAGGGGTGATCAAACCAAAACCTGGGATCAGTTCATAAAGTCTTTCTCCCTCACATTTATGCTTATTATCGTTCTTTTGGATCTTTCTCTCTCTCGTCTTCTTTTGTGTGCTCTACTGAGTGTAGCAACTTAAACTGTTGCACACTTCTGTGTAAATTTCTATGTTGAAACTCAATTAGACAGTCAGTAGACGTTTTTCTGCTACTAATTCATTTCGAAAAAATTAATACAATTAGTAGATACAGGATGCCTTGTTTATTTAAAATTGTGATTTCTGATACTAAAAGAACATTCACTTCAGACTGTATGATATGAGACTAAACATCGAAAATGTCAAGCACTTTAATTCTACTTATTGATCGGAAGTGTAGCATGTTAAGATTGGTTTTTCCCACAAAATCAGTTGAATATCCATGAATCTAACATCTTAATTATAATATGTTGATAGTACAGTCTGAAAATGGTGATTTCATTCCTAAAATTGGATTAGTTTTAAAATCGAAACTTTCCAGTGGGTGTTATAGTTTCACGTATTTATTTAACTAATATTCACTTGTCAGTTTCACTGTGATATATCAGTTGTTTTCCCGCCTTTCTAACCTTATCCAATCATAACAAAAACAGTTTTTTTTATATGCTTAAGAGAAAAAGAGTTGACTAACTTTCAGCATGACAACTAGTATGTTGTGTGTATACGCGTTTACTTTCTTTTCCTATATTTTTCTTCATTCACTCTCCTTCCTTAAAGTAAATCCTGAGATGTTTTATTTCATGTCAGATTACACCGACCATTGCTATATATTGTTTTATTTCTTTTATACTGAACTAGCCATTTCAACCTTCATAATCTGACGCGTGTGTGTATGTGTATATATGTGGGTATTAATTGTGTCTTATATTCTCGTGATGAATGCATACTTAATGCAGTGAGTCATCTCTTCGTGCTTCGTTTATGCCTTTTTATATCATAACATTGACCTTTACAGTGAATATATTGTTTGTCTGTTTGCGTGTGTGTGTGTGCACTGGCGGAAAACCCATAAGAAAGAAACCTACCGAAAGTTGAAAATTATGAGTTGTTATTGATGCTGACTTTATTTCTATATGTATGTTTATGCATGCCTATGTACTTTTGGTGGTCCTTGTTCTCTGTTTTTCACTTTCGATTGTGTACTTCTCAGTTTTCACTCTATCTAACGGTGAATAATCATATTATTCAGCAAAACAAATAAATCCAATAAGAAAAAGTGTATCTGAATATATTACATCATGTTTGTAAAAAAAATCCGTTGTATTTTCTGACTACTTAACAGTCTTTATTCCAGTTATTTTTCCATTAGATTGTTCTAATATGCTTAATTTCATATTTAAAGTTGACCAGTGGTCTCGATCTAAACCCTTCTAAGTGTCAATGAGAAAGACTTTTGTGGATCGGTTCAGTCATGTGTGCAGTTTGTAATATCAATGGTACTGTGGTGCTGAATGAATCGACTCTATTACCCTTTTTGATATTTGTTGGTCGTCTCATATCATATGACTTCCGAAGAAAATTACAATAAACCTGAGACTTTCTGTTATTACTAAACCTCTTCTTTAGCAATTTACAAACTCCTGCATTCTACCTATTCTTTTTCATCTCCCCTTTATCTTCTTTGGATCTCTGGGAAGAGACTATTATAACACATTATTTAGGACTTTTGAAGGTCGTGAAAAGGATTATTGAAGTACCTATGACTTGACTAACAGACTGTCAGGTATTTAAACTCATGTAAGCAGCTGGTTGTCATCTTATCGGATATTAGACACCCTCTACATTCACAACTTTACACTCGTATCTCCTTAAGAGAAACTAGAAGCAGTCTCATGGAGATTTATGCTCGCTTGGCTAAACACGGAATTCTATCATACTCTATTTGTCATGTCATATATCGGGAATAAGGACATACTCGCCAGTGATGATATTGGCTAATGGTCGCGCTACATCGTGAACTGGCAGAAGTTAGAATTCGTAGGCTGGTCATTGGATCGGGTCCTGGTGGCTTAATGGTCTACGAGGTCGCTAGCCTTGTAACCGGAAGGTCCTGGGTTAGAATCCTGGCGGTGGGTGCGTACTGCTGGAGAGTCCCAAACTAAGCCGACGAAACAGATGTCCAGTACTCCTCGCTGGTTTTCATTGGTTCTCTAACTGATATCAATCCGTGGTCAAACTTGAAAAATTTACTATTTGTTTCTAGAAATTGCTCACTTATCATTATTGCGTACATTAATATTGTTAATAACTCCATTTGGTTCTCGTAGTCGCTTTTTGGATTTCATTTGTATATGGAGTAAATGTGTTGCAATATAATGCTGAAGACTCTATACTGTATCAAGAATATTGTTTGGGACAATGTTATTATTATTATTATCAATTATTATGAGAGAAGGTTTATCCTCCAATACTATTAGACAATTTTCCACCCGTCAAAGACACTTTCTTCAGTGTAAACATGAACCTTTTACCGACGTATGTGCTACTGCAAGTGTAGGCGCTAAAAAACACGTCACCTATATACCTTTCATAGAACTCCTTATTAAATCTTGAAAATCGCATGATATTCACTTGTTACCAATGTGTTGTCAGGATGTTTATGTTGAAACAAATTTTGAGTTCTACGATTCATACTGATTTTTTCTTCAAACCCTTCTAACATTGTATAGTAATGACCGGTTACAAAATTAAGAGTATACATTTCATTCTACTTGAAAAATCTCCTCACTGTACAATGATTATTTGAATTCTTACTGGAAATCAAAACCAGCATATTTGTTAGGATACTGAGTAAAGATTCTCATCCACTAAGGTTTCTGTTGCACTGGAATTCGACTCTTCAAATTAACCTTTTATTTCGCCTACTTTTCTACGCGTATAATTGTTGAATTAGTGGATGGTGAGTCTAAAGTCATATTTCTATAGTAAGATGTGAGTAGCCATGGAATCCATGTAAGTTTCACAAAGCTAAGCAAAATGTTTAAAAAAATTTACAAGATTTTCCACTTATTTAAAGTGTATCTGATCAGTGCAACTCAGTGTGACCATGCAAGTTTGTGTAATATCGAATGCAACTGTTATATAACCTCTGGAGATACCTACTGGTTACATAACCCTTTATAAGTAGAACGAGGTTTGAAGCTGTAGTTTTCTGGTTGAAAGTTTGCCACCCAATTCAATGAGCTATCCCTCTGTTGATTCTATCAATCATGCTCTCAGATTCAATTTGATTGCTTAACTTTCAACATCATTTAATCATCAATGTACTTACGGCTTTTATACATCTCTTTTGACAGTGTATTTCATCATTTTACTCAGTTCCTTTTTTTGCTGACATCTGTTTCAGTTTTGCCTGGTTGATTGCCAGTAAAACAATACATAGTCTTGTTTTAAGAAGACTGCAGATACCTAATTACTTGGTATGCTCAGTGGGGTGATTTATGTTATTCCATATAATTCTATTCTCAACATAGTTTGTGCTTCTTTTACTACTTAAGAACTAGGTAGTTATGATTAGTTTGGTTAGGATTCAAATAAACTCTTAAATTCTTTTGTATTTTTATTTAATTTCCTTACAATTTTTATTTGTCGTAAGAGCATTTCCCGAATCCGCTGGTTTGTTTACTCGGTTATTATCATTTTCTTGATAATTCAGGCTAAAACCGAAGTACCATATTCATTTGTTGGATTTCCTAAAATTAGTAAATAAACAATTCCTTCCCTTGACTTAGAATTTGTTGTTTCTATTGAAAAGGAGAATCAAAAAGAAAATAGTTTTAATGTTGGTTGCATACTAACTTTGTTAATATCAACGATAATCCTATGCTGTCAACTGTCTGAAAATTAATGTATTCTTTTATTTAGCCCTTGTATAGAACTCAGTTACCCAGAAATAGTTTCCCAAGCTGTGAGCTATAGTTATTACATGAGGAGACCCAATCGTTCAGGCTAAAGTTGTTGAAGTGGGATCAGAACCTGGTATCCATTGACTGATAGTCAAGAGTTAAAGTCATTGAGCCATTAACAGTTATTGTTAAGTAGTAAGGGGAAACAAATAGGCAATTTGAACCTTTTCCAACCGTGTTTATATATTCATATTGCCATTAGTTCATAAGTCCACATATGTTGCTTTCAAAATCTGTAGGTTTTTTTGAGTGCTCAAACTAGTTTACATGGAGTTAGTTTCATTGTGTATATATATAATAGTCTTATTGAGGTAAACATTTTGAGATTCTTGCAAAGTTTATAAGTCGGCTACTCTGAATGTGATGGATTTTTAAATGGGGGTAATTCACTGTACTTAATATGTAGCCGATGGGTCATGAATTTGTGTCTAACTCCGCCTTTCAAATTTAGACAGCTATTTAATGCTATTATCTACTACTCAACAACTGTGACTCATTGTCTAGCACATACACATGAATATGTAGTTGACGAGTTGAAAAGTAGATTACATTTCGGGAACTATTCACTGCCTGAATAAAACCGTAAGATAGACCTATAATCTGTATAATCCATGTCATATATATATATGCGTCGGTGGCACAGTGGTTAGGACTCTCGCCGACCATGCACATGGTCCGGGGTTCAATCCCCTACTGACGCACACCCGATATCTATGGTCGGCCTGCAAAATTTGGGCTACCGATATCCATGCTGAAAATTCCATACTTGTACTGAAAATACGGTGTGGCATCAAGCTGTAATCAAAATAATAAAAAAAAAATAAATATATACATATATATATATATATGTATATGCACATAAACAGTTACCTGTTTTCCCCGTACTTTTTTTGAAGCTATCGTAACTGAATTTCGCTATCTTATCCAGTAACAAAATAGTGTTAAGTTATCACGGAAGATTACAGGAAATTAAGGTGATACATCTCTTTTCTTATTGTATTCTTTCTGTGTCTTTTTGCTTATAAATTATTCACATTCTCAAGTATTGGTTTTGTAGGTATTTTTGTTTGATTGGTTGGAGGATTTCATCATGAGCTTGTAACCAGAAGGTCCAGGGTTCGAACCCCGGTGGGTGCGTACTGCTGAATAGTCCCAAACTAGGACGAAGCAGCTGTCCAGTACTCCTAGGTTTTCCAATGGTTCTCTAACTGATGTCAGCTCATAATGAAATCCTCCAACTATTCACATTCTGCTGACTGAAAGAATCCGTCTTCAACAACGTGGCGTATATTTTCTGATTATTACAACTATAAAATGTGATCTCTTTACTTGACTTATGTTCTTAAAATGTTTGATTATTGGAAGTGGACAAGATTAAAAAGTTATAGATATTTTATCATTCACTTCTTTCATAAGCCCAGAAATAGACGTGGAATTTTGCTCAGAATTTCATTACTTTAACGTGCCTCAATTTGACAAAGTAAGGTTGGAAATAGTAGAAATGACTGACTGACTAACCGGTTTCAACGTAGAACTTTGCACTGATGTGCAGCAGTTTGAGTTACCACACTTCACTACACTACAATAAACAGACATGAATGGAGGATGAGAAATAATTTGATAAAGATCACTGGAAACTTTCAGAACTTGGAACAAATAAACAGTGGATATATCAGCGCCACTAAACTATTTCGAAACTTGTCACCAAAAATCTACAGCCTCTGGTTTCCAACTCTTTCAGATATGCCCATTCAAGTGACCCACATATATCTACATGGTTGAAACCATTAATCAATGGCCTCTTGGATTTTTGGCATGTTTTTATCTGATCACCTTTAATTCAACTAAAACGTATGCTTCAGAAGACTGCATTTTGTTAGGGTTTTCTTCAAAAAGAATTATATCTCCTCTGCACTCTAACTAGACTATCTCACCTCCTAGTACCAAATCGATTATCTAGAAGTCAAAATCAAACGAGGTTGCTTCCATTCAACTAGTTTATCCTGAGCATGGTTCACGCTTGTTTTGTGAGTTTCTTATGGAGAAATCATGGGACAGTGAATCTACCAGAATGAATTAACACAGTTGATTATCAACCTCACTTACATACTTTTATTGTATTCTTGTTGAGTTATTTATATACAGTTCTGTAAAGCATAACGTGGTCCGAAATAGTGATAAACGTCAGTAGTTTAGAGCAAGAATATCAAGTTGGAAAAGTTCATTAAGAGACTGTTGTACATCTAAGGTCTTCCAATAACAAATAAACAAATCAGTCATTTGGGATACCGTTTTAGTTGTTTGAAGTTCGAAAATGGACAGCCATTAAGTCAAAGGTAGGGTCAAACAACGAAATAAACATAGTTGTGTATAAATATTCATGAATCAACTACTGTCTGAAGCAATTTGACATTCATAAAGAAAATAATGACTACAATGTCATTGAAAGTAATATCCTTAACAAGATCATATTTTCAGCATGGATATCGGTCCCAAATTTTGCAGGCCGACCATAGATATCGGGTGTGCGCCGGCAAGGGGTCGAACCCCGGACCATGTGCATGGTCGGCGAGAGTCCTAACCACTGTGCCACCATCTGGGAGAGTCTGTCTCCAAATCAGCAACTTCACCTGATAGATACATTATAATATTATACTTTATGTCTCTCGCTTTTCTTTTGAAGTTGTTCAATAATTCATTCGATTGCATATAATTTAAGTGATTTGATTCTTTTTTTTTAAAACAGTTTGTTTGCTTTTCATTTTGTATATTCAGACCACCGTGATACTGTGACACCTGGTTATCTTACAAAATCCTATGAAAGTACAAATTATTCAGGTTTAGAAAACTCCAATTATCCTACTGATACTCATATCCAGTCACTTCATCAGTATCATGCTAGTGTTCAAAGTGATAATGCTATTAATCCACCATGTTCGGTGATTTCTACATCTAAAGTCAGTTCTACGCATCCATTCCAGTTGGATGAAATCGGTACATCAAGCGTTATCAATGCTTCTCATTCTAGTCGATGTCCTCCATTCTATTCTGATTCATTTGATATATCCAATAGTAATAATACTACTACTAATAATAATAAAACATTTGGACTGCATTCCGAAAATATTGATAGATACTGTCAAGTTAACCAGTCATCGACAACAGACAAACCCACTGCCCCACTACCATCTCGTAAGCAAAGACCATTATCTCCATCTTCACCAGTTGCTTCTATTACCACTGGAATTACAACTCCGGCGTCTATTATTAACATGCATCAACATCATACAAATATAAATTCAGTTGATCACCATCACCAACAACAGCAACAACTTTTTACTCCCAAATTACCGCATCATACCAACATTCCACATGGTAATCCCAGTATGAAATCATTAACACCAGCTCATGCACACTGTCAGGAAGTATATCAATATCAGAATACCAATAAGTCAACTAGTGGATGGTCATCTTCCTCAGGTGGTGGTGGTAGTAGTGCAGGTGGAGGCGGCGGAGGTCGTACCACAACATCCAACAATAATGATCATAATAAATCGGATTATTATCCAGCTACTAATTCAGATCAGTTTATTGTTGGAACTAGTGGAGATGGAATTATAAATTATTACAGTAATAACTATATTCATAAAACCAATGTTTCTAGCACTATTGCTACCACTACTACTAACAATATTGTCAGTAGTATAGGCTTTGTGAATTATAATGTAAGTTTGCCTTATTTTGTATGGTCATTATATTACTTATTTTATTCATTGTGTTATTGAACATGTTAAACACGTGATTAATGTTTGCCTGGCTAAAAGGCAAAATGATGACTGCATTCAATTTAATTCCTTCTATAAGTACTTACTACAGAATTGCAGATTTTAGACTGTCGGTCACAAATTAGGAACTTTATTTATTTATCACTGTTTAAAATAACTAGATAACATGATTATCGTCTATACAACGACGGTACATATAACAACTGGCAGTACCACTGGATTTCTTTTATATGCAACTCAGTAAACTATGTTTATTTTCAGTAAGGTGCATATAGTATCAGGTTTATTTTGTTTTGAGTATAATTCACTTAAATTGCACTTGCTTTGCTTTGATTTGCTCTTAAATCTGTAGTTTTCATTACTTCATGCAAAAGCTTCTTGAGGTGATGATTTAAAGAAGAGTGTGTCTAAAACTTTACAGTTCGGCATAAATCTTTCGTTTGTTTTCATATGGTAATAAATCCCTCCCTAGTCTAATTTGATCCTCTACCTTGGATTTGAGGCATTCTCTTTTCTCAGACTGTGTTTAAGAGGTGTGCATACAATGAGTAGTTGTGCAATCTTTTCATGATTATAACACAATAAATCTACATCCGTAATTAAGTGGTTGATGTAGCGTTAATTGACAACCAGTCGTATAAATATAAATAATTCCACTTAAGAAGTGTCCTCCTTATATTACTAAGCTAGCGGACATTACATCTAATGATTATCGGTGAGGATTAAAAAAGACACCAATTAAAACAGTAGATTCTAGCATTTTACTTAAATAACTCTATACACAGCGATCCTGTATATAGTCTGAATGTTTGGCATGTGATTCGCTCCCGCCAAATGTAAGATGATGCTACAGAATTGGATTGCATTGACTCCTAGATGGCTTAAAGATAGGGAATGAAATGGTACAACGTGTTGACCACTTCACCTATTTGGGAAGTTGCATCAACCAGCTCCAGTGGGTTGATCGCTGACGAAATCTCAGCACGGATACAGAAGGCTAGTTTCGCATATGCCAAATTACGTCATCTCTGGCACAGACGTGATATCCGGCTGGCTATTTACCAGAGGGCGTGTGTACTGCTCAGCAGTCCGCTCCGTCCTTCTTTATGTCTGTGAGATATGGCCATTGAGAGTGGAAGACATGAAAAGGCTGGCTAGCTGTCTTTGATCATAGGTGCCTGCGTTCTATCTCCCGTGTGAAGTGGAATAATAGGGTGAGCAATATTGAGGTTAGGGATCGGTCGAGTGCTAGTTAAGGAGAGGGAATCAATAGACGAGGCTGTGAAGTTACATCGACTGAGATGGTTAGGATATGTGTTACCCATGCCTAGCCATCGCCTTCCTCGACAATGGGCAATGTTAACTGATATAGGATAGATTACGTTGGAAAAGAGCTAGTGGTGGTCAAACCAAAACATGGCTTCATCAGTCAATGAAATCCATAACAGTTAGTTTAAGCCAGCCACGTAGAGAGGTGTAAACTTCCTGGTTGGGGTCCTCGGGACGGTAAAAACCAAGGCGGAGAATGGTGAATGCTCAAAATCGTTCTCCGTGATGGCTGGTGCAGATGCATCCACTCCTTGTGACATATAATACCCAATAAAACTATATTGTTCTTCGATATTGCTATTCTTTTTACCTCATATCTCTGTTTACTGTCTCTATTTTGCATTCCCTTTTACTTTCTTCTCTGGCTTTGTGTGATACATGGAGGGAGAGTGGCAACTGGAACTGCTACACATCGGTACAAAGTTCTATATTGAAACCAGTCAGTCAGTCCGGAGTTCGATCCCGGGCTGACACACTGCTAAACGTTGTCTAGCTGGTAGTAAGCTTGGTAAAGAGGGAAGGTTAGGCATGAGGTGAGCAAACCCACCCTGTAAAATACAATACTACTGTTATTGAAACTTTTAAGCTAAAGCTTAAATCCCTATATTCCACTCGGTATTAAAGGAATAAGATAATTACACAATGACTCAACCTGTTGCTCTTCAAATAATTACTTCATGAGAGTCTAGGATACAAATATACGTCAGTGTGATATGAATTAACAGTTGTGTAATAAAACTTGTAATGCTTGTAAACTGTTGTGTATTTGTTATCTTTAGATTTATTTGTCATTTGAGATTTTATGGTCACTCAGGAGTTTAGTGACAACATAACGCCCATCAAATGGTTAGATGTATCGCTGCAAATCGCCATATTTTTGCAACAGTGTAGAAATGGAAAAAAAATAGAATAGCATTAAAATAAATTATAATAATAATAAAGGACGACGAAAAGTAAATTAAGATTTGTAAAAACTACAGAGTTTTATTGATGGAAAGGGAATACGTCTACATCTGTTTGATTGTTCCTCACTTATATCACTATTATTTAAGATACACTTTAGTGTCAGTTTAACTATGTACACATAATTCGCAAACTTAAAAAATGGAGATGTATTCGCAAGCAGTCCTTTGGTATACGAAATTGTGATGTTAAGTTAACTGAAGTTGAAATTTCTGGCTATCAGAAATCTGCACTGTAGCGAACAGATATATCCGAAATAGCCAATACTGATTCAGGTGATCAACAAATAAACCATTCCATATCGTAACATGATTAATCGCTTGAGAATAAAATCTTTCATTTCTAGCTTGTTCAAATGAGCTTTTTAAAATACTGTTTGTTCAATAACACTTATCAGTCGATTTGAGGATTATACATAAATTAGTTAAACTTAATGACTCATAAATAAATAACCAATTGACATGAAAATTTATAGAGGCATTTCTTATTTTTTATTCTATCAAGGGAAGTTCATTCACATTTTTTTAAAGGTTTAAAATAGGACATAGTTTGTTTACTATTGTGTGTTCCCATAGTATTCTCAGCCTGCTTTAACGATTAGTATTTCCTTTTTTTATATCATACAGAAATTGTTTTTTTTTATTTAGTGTTGAATCCATTTTGTTTTGTTTGTACGTGTGCATCGGAAAGAGGAGAGGGCGGAGAATGAGAATTAGAGGAAATTAGAAACTTGAGAAAAACTAACTGACCTACTAATTTATGGACATTGATAAAATAAAGTAAACAAACTATTGCATCATTTCCTCCCTATTTAAAGATACAAATAAATAAATAAAATAAACAAGGAAGACCTCTTATACGTCTTTATTTGTTCTTTGGGAATTTTCGGTGGCAATAAATTGATGGAACTAATAAATCAGCATCTATCATATATATATATATATATATATATTTTTAATATTATCTCATTTTCCTTCAAGTTTGTTATGAAACTGTAGCTTATTGCTCCACGTTCTGAACATGTTAGTTTGAATCCTCCACTAAAATCAACCAGCGGCAATTCAAATATGATAAATTATCCAAAAGGACTAAATTAACTAGTACTGACTAGTTGAATCAAACATGTTAGTTATGTGTTTGATCTCTTCTTCATATAAGGAGACTTGGGAAGCAACGTGTCACGCAGTACATGCATGCGCGCTATGATTGTCACTATATTATTAAATTTTTGGTGTAAAATCATTGTGTTCTTATTTTTAAATAAGAACTTATATCCTTCTTCTGTTGTTTTGTGAAGGAATGAATTTTTTATGTTCTTTTAGCTATCACTATCATGTCTGTTGTGTATCATCTAACTCTATATGTTATATAGATGGTTAAGTTAATACTCAGCCTTATTATGAAGGATGTTTCATGTAAGAAAAAGTAATTTTTAAACGAATACTACCTTTTTCAAAAACTTGCATAGAATAAATGGGTATGGCATTATAGGAGACATTTAAATAAGTAGCTGAACACAACACTGTACTATAGAAACAATATACTGGAAGTGAGGCTCTGATTTATTATTAGTTATTATTTATAAGTAGAGCTGACAATAACATTCCTCGCTTGGGAATTATTAATTGAATCATCGAAGTGAATACCATCAAAAACACAAAAATAATATTGATTGTATCCCATTGATCGTTAATATTAATATTGATTCCTTGCATCCTGAGTAGAACGTAAGACTTTAGCGGCACACCCGCGCTGCATTCGATTTATTGTCATCACTTTTAACTTGCTCTGTGACTACCCACTAGCTTTCATTCCCTTCTCATATGATCTCTGTGTCACCATCGTACACTGAAGCCATCGCTTTCCACTCGGGTTTCACTCAATGGGGTCTGGTGTGGGAATAGGCGGCCTGCTTGAATCACTGGACTACCGAAATTGCTTTCCACCAAAATGCTTAATTTCATCTGGATTTATCATTGTTTTAATCGTCAAGTTAAATCAGATGACCGATATATGAACTTGTGCGTTGATTTAACTTGCTTCCAAGTAAACGCTGTGAGATTCTTCAGCGAAATGAAGATATACTTCATATTATTACTTTACGTGTAAATCCTGTGTGAAGAAAAAAGTATTTTGGAACTGAATACTCTGAAAAGTTTTGTACCATATGTTCGCATATTGTCTGAAATAAAGCTTTATTATTATTATCATCATCATTTGGATGTCTGGTCAGAGTATGTCGGATCCATCTTCATTCCCTTCTGCATATTTGTTGAGTAACAGGCTCTTGGCTGGTTCGCTGCCAGAATCCATTGTTGCTTACTATTTCCCATCGGCCATCTGATCTTCGGTAAGGAGCTTAAGCACTGCTCATAATGAAGTGTAGGATAACAAAGGTTTATTACGTCATTTTGTCATGCATACACACATGCAATTGTATACTGCAAATACTCAATACGTATTTCGTTTATATATATATACTGTCGCTTTAGAGGAAAACAACTTTCGTTGGTGATCACAAACAACTGCGATGAGCTTACCTCTCCTATTTCGTCTTCTCATCCTGTTAATTTATGATATTTAGATTTTACTAAGTAGTATGTGCATTTATCCTGATATATGCGTCCTCTCGTTGTTTTATCCATCTT